GGGGGGGGGGGGCACGTGCCCTGCTCTCCTGGCTTCTCCTGCATCTAGCCCTGTGCGCCCCCCCGCCCATCACCTCCTGCCACTCCACCCTGCACCACCTCCAAGGAAGGGCAGGGGTTAGGGAGCGGGATAGGCGGTCAGGGGAGCAGTAGGGTGGGGTGCACTGCTGTAGAACCATGCAGTGGGGCAGGGTACACAGCTGCAAGGCCGCGCTCCGCACTACACGCACTCCCCTCCGCTCCTTCCCTGCCGTCTCCCGCTTCCTGCCAGCTGTGATCTGGGGGGCGCACTGCACCTCCCAACAACCAGGGGACAGAGAGCAGAAGGCGGAGGGGAGGGGAGCAGGTGCAGTGCAGCATGCCACACCACACAGCAATGGTCTGCAGCAGCACACCACACGGCCACACCCCGCAGCAGGCAGCGCGCCACAGCAGAGAGCACACCACGCCACACTGTTTCTGACTGCCTGGCCCGCTCCCTGGCCCCTGGCCTCCTTCTGTCTGTCTGTAAAACTTGGGGCCAGCCAATCGCTGCCTGCCCTGCGGGCAGCACATGCACAGTTGGCCCAAAGCATCACAGGCAGGCAGGCAGAGGCTTTTGTTATACTAGAATAAGACGAGGGACTTTTTCCCCCTCCATGCTGATTGGGAGGAAAAACCTTGTTCTATATTTGAGTAAATACAGTACATAGGAAGAGGGAAAGTAAATTCTTGCCACGGATGTGGAAATGATGTAAAGAAAACATATTTACCCAAAATGATTAATAAACAGAGATATAATCCTGCTGCCTTCAAAATTACTCAGGTACATTAGTCAGAAACAAACATAGATTTTAAGGTTATAAGCATTTTGGTCATCTAATCGGACCCTTGCTTACTAACACTATAGAGTGCCACCAGAAGTTTCTTCATCAAGCCCAGAACTTCTACTTAAGATACAGAATCCTTTTATGAAAGCACCCAGTCTTGATTTAAAAACTTCAAGTGATGAAAAATTCACTGGATCCATAGGTAAGTTATTCCAATAATTCAGGACTGTGGGCCAAATCCAGGCTTCGGAGCTGTATGATCTAACCATAGGTCTCTAGACCACATGGGACATGTGCCATGGCCCTGTACACTATATCCAATGCTGGGGGCCAGAGTGTGGTCTGCATGTGGCATCTGACTGGACTAGGCATGTACACTGGCTTTGGCATGCAGAGGCAGCCTGGGACCAGCCCCAGAGCCAGTGTGCAGGGCCAGTCTGGCAGGGCACACATGCAGCCCCAGGCCTCCTGTGCCAAGTACAGTGCCGGATCTGGCCCACATGCCATGTGAAGAGTAAACCCTACAGCAGCAGGCAGGCTGGACCTGGTGCCATGCTTGCTGCACATAGTACAAGGGGTTGGTCTCAATCCAGCCCAAGAACCCTGATCTGGCTCTCAGAGCCAGATGAGTTTGACACTCCTGCAATAATTAATTACCCTCACAGTTGAAAATACATGTCTTGCCTCCTGTCTGAATTTGTCTGGCTCTAGGTGCCAACCACTGTATTTTGCTATGCCTTTTTTTGATAGATGAAAGAGTACTTAGTTCAAGAAGCTTAGCTGAAGAAATTTAAGGAAGTCCTATTTCTCTGATAATAAAGCCAATGCATACAAAGAGGCAAGCAGGTTAAGTGCAGGTAGAGGGATCACAGAATATGTATGTCACTCATACACTTTTATAGCACTTTTTACTAATTAGTCTACTGAGCAAGCATTCCAGATGGGGAAAATTAAGGGTGAAGTTACACATTATACTTAGAGCATACTAAGGGTGCTTAAAATGTGAATATCTGAACATCAAAGCTTGTTAACTTGTTCCAAGTGCCCTCTGACCATCTGACAGTTATGCCACTCCAGGCAAGGGTTAAGTCTGGGCCATGCTACCTAACTTGTATAAGAATAACTTCAGTCTGCTTCACAGAGATAAAACAAGCAATTTTCAATGCTCCAGCATCCCAGAATGTATCGCTCCTGACTCCATTCATTAGCAGGGCTGGAGCCCAACCGTCCTGATTCCTGGCCAGCAACCCCAGCTCCCCAGCCTTCTAGCAGAAAGTCAGAGCTGTGCAGGCAAGAAACACTATTAACCCTTAATGTTCGACTGCTCACAGCAAGGTCTAACTTTAAAACTGCTTAACACGCCACAGATTTCGGACAGACTACATCTAACTCCAGCCTGTTGTGATACATGTCAAAAACATGAGTAACCACAATTTCCAGAGCAGTCTTAAGATTTGTTATCACAAGTGAGGCAAAAGCCATTTTAAAGCAAGTGTTCATACTCTGAACTGTTCATACACATGACAAAGCAGACAGCAGGGTAGAATTACACCTCATAGACCAACTAAATCAGAGAGGCTACAAGCTTCTGTAAGCAGAAGCTCACTCCATCAGCTACAGAAAGCAAACTGGTGCCCATTTCCACAGATGTAGTGGCTGCTGGCATGGAAGACAGTACGTTTAAATAGGTGGGAGTTTTCCCCACAGCCAAACTGGTACACACTTGGGGGGAGGTGGTTTGCTTTCTCTGTAGCAGGGGGCTGTGGTCCTATACCCAGAATCTCCTGAGCCTATACTGACAACATTTCATAGAAGCAGAACGCTGGCTGCCGTGGTTCCCCTCCTTTACCTGGGCCAGGTTAGGGTGTTAGGTCTGTGTTGGGTCAGGGTTGATAGTCATCTTACTTAGTGATCAGCTTACAGATCAGCAATGTTTTTAGGCAGGGCACGAAAAACACACACAACCTCAACTTGCAAGGTGCTGGTGTGCCAGGGGCAGACAGCAAGGGGCCTGATCCTTCTTGTGGCAGTCCAGGCCCAGCCCCTTCCCCTCTGTCCTCGAGGCACGTGGGCCAAGCAACATGCTTTCGTGTGCCAGAGGTTGCCTACCCCTGTCATACATTGTATGGGACAGTTTGGCACAGAGACAATCCTGCCTCAGGCAGGGGATGGACGAGGGGTCCTGGGCAGGTGCCTTCCAGCCCCATTCCTGGTCCTGTAAGAAGCACCCTGCAGCCTTAAGCCAAAAGGCTTCAGCAGCTTAAAAACTAGTGGAGCCCTTGGGAGCCGGAGCTGCCTGGGCCAGCTACACACCCCTGGCAGGCTCTTAGCCCTGCTGTAGCCAGGCCCCACCCGGGCTGTCCACCGGCCCGACCCCTGCTCTGCCCGACCCTTCCCCAGGCTTTTCCTGCCCCCGGGCATAGCCGGGAGCGGGCACTGCCCAAGGGGCAAGCCCGCCAACCCTCCCCTCCCCCCCTTTGAAGCCGCTGTTCCCTCAGGCGCCCCGGGGTGAAGGGGGGGGGGGGGGGGAAGTGCCACTGACCTCGTCCGTGTCCCGGAGGGGGATCTCAATAGAGCCCCGCGACATGATGCCGGTGCCCCGGGGCAGCGCCCGATCCCACGACGAGCAGCCGCCTCAGCTCCTCTCCGTGGCCCCCGCGTGCACTTCCCGTCACAAACTCCCTCCCTCTCCCGGAAGTGCGTATCCACCCCGCCCCGCCCCCTCCGCGCCTCGCGGGGCCCCTCCCCTCAGCAGCGCGCGCGGGCGCGGGGCAACGGCGGAGCCGCGCGCTGG